GAACCCAGGATGAACCCAGCTTGCGCGACTGGGTTCGCCATGAACCCAACTCGTGTGATTGGGTTAGCAATGAACCCAGCTCGCGCTTGGGTTCGCGACATACCCAGACGCAAGCTGAGTTCTCAATCTCTGCCAAGTAGCGAACCCAGGCGCAAGCTGGGTTCTCAATCCCTGCCAAAAAAAAAAGAAAAGCATGTTCTTCTCAAACAAACAGCTCTAGAAACATCCAAGAACAGAAAACACAAGAGCAGCAAAAATTTCAGGAAATTGAAAATTGAAGATTTGAAATTCCAGCACTCAATGTCAAAACCTATTCAACTTCCTTCTTGGAAGAACCTGTTAAAAACAGTTAATTAACCCAAGTCTTGGTGCTCAATTGATCACAGAATCATTTAACCAAATCAATCCAATCTTACCAACTAACATTTTTCCGCGCTTGAAGTGTCGTTGCGAATCCAAACTCCTGGGTTCGTTGCGAACCCACGAGCAGGGTTCATCGTGACGAACCCACGAGCTGGGTTCATCGCGACGAACCTAGAGTCCTGGGTTCGCCTAAAGGTAAGAAAAAAAAGAAATAAAAAAAGAAATAAAAGGTTGAAAGAAGGAGAGGATGGGGGAAGAAAATGAGGGTATATTGGTAATTAAAAATAAAAAATTTGGCCATGTCATCAAGTTTTGCTAAATGGATTTCACACGTAATTTAAGTAAAGAAAAAAAAAATTTTTCCATTAGTTAACCTACCACGTAAGCCAAAATTTAATGGAGGGACCAAAAAGGGGCCGGATTTGTGAACAGTAAGGATCAAAAAGATGATTTTTTCGGTATAGGGACTAAAAAGGAGCTTTTTCCTATAGTAGAGGGACCAAAAAGGGTATTTAACCTTTTTTTTCCAACCATACTTCTATTACAATTTCATCAAGACTACTCTAACAAAAAGTTAATTATTTGGTAATCCCCACCTCCTTATTAATTGAATCTCGCAAAGGGTAAATATGGAATTTTATCCTATAATAATTGTACTTATATGGAATTTGTTAAATTCTTTTTGGTATGAGTAATATGAAGAAGTGTGATGAATGAACCTTTCGATTTAATGGTTTTTTTCAAATTTTAGTGTTTGAGTTAAGTTGGTCGAAAGTTTAATTTTAATTAATAACTTAAAAATTTTTCATTCTTTTATAATTTTTTATGTTCAAATATATACATATACATATATATATATATATATATATGAAGAAGCGTGACAACCAAGGGAAGGAGATGTATAGCTTGTGTTTTGGATGGTTGTGAAGTACTCTATATGTAGATTTTTTTGTATTTTATTATAAGAAATTACGTTATTATTTAATAATTATTTATAAAAGAGTTTTATATATTGATTAAAAAATTCTATAAAATACCAATTAAGATTAATTTAATTATAATAAATCAACATTTTTATGAAATACGGTGTGAAAAAAGTAATGTAAAAAAAAAATAAAAATCAAAACGTACTAACATTTTAAATGATAAAATTAACAATTAAAGTATTCAAATATATTTAATAAATTTTTTTATATATTAATTTATTAAAAATATTTAAAATTTTTTATTATTTATTTCAATATTTTAATTACGAATACACACTAATTTTTCTCAAACCAATAAAAAAAAGGAAAAAAAAAAAAGATGGAACGAGTAATTGAATTATCAAAATGTTTATTCCGCAGCCCATTTTCCTCCTTTTAAATTCTCTTTTTTTTTTTTTTTTTTAACAAATTATCAAGGGGTTGGCTCGAAACCCATTCATAAAAAAAAAAAAATTATATCTCAAACTGACAGGATGCGAGTTGACCCGAAAAATAAAGTTCCTTCTAAATTCTCTTTTTAAATTAACACGAAATATAAAGAGTAATAAAGAGGTTAAAGTCAAGGCCAAAGCCCCTATTTGCACCCTCTATTTATTTCTTTTTCACGGTCAACACCTTTCAGAATTTTTTCTCCCTATTCACACCTTCCATTTTTCAAAACCTGTAAAAAAACCTAACATTTTAACGCGCCATCACGGTACCGTTACAAAATGTATTACGTGGCACTCAAAAATCGACGTGGCCACTATGTGCCGTTAGTAATCCAACGTGGATGCTTTTTTTTTTTATGATGTGGCTTATTTAAATAAAAAAAATAAAAAAATTTAGAACAGGAGCTCTGGGTTCCTCACGACGAGGAACCCAGAGTCAGGAACCCCGACTGCCCGATCTGGGTTCGGCGAGGAACCCA